CCCGCCCGACCCCTGACCTCCCCGCAGGCCCCCTACTCCCGCCGGGCAGACCCTAAGCCTGGGCTCCGGGAGGACACGGCCTGGGTGCTGGCATCCAGCCCGGAGCTCAGACCTGTGTGCGCCAGTGTGGCCTCGGAGCTCCACGTGTCTGCATCCCGCAGCCCGTCTGGCTAGGGCTAGGCCCGGCCGGGGTCCCTTAGGCACCTCAAGTGTAAGACGTGGACAGATTCGTATGTCGGCACGCGGTGAATGCATACTTAAGATCTGTGCATTTCACCCGCAATGTACATGTTACATCAAAAGAAAAAAACGAACCAATTGACGCGTGTGCCGAGGCCATGTAAATGCACCACAAGCGGAAGGTGGGCTGGTGGCTGGAGGGGAGGGGACGTGGATAGGCATACACTCAGATCGTGGTTGTAAATGGCGGATATGGGTAAACCCTGGAAAGCTCTTTCCAAATGGCTCTTTCAAAGTGTTCAGCATAGTCCCAGCGGGTTTGGCTCACAGTGGATAGAGCCTCGGCCTGCGGACTAAAGGGTCCCGGGTTCGATTCTCCTCGAGGGCTCATGCCAGGGTTGCAGGCTCAGTCTCCAGTGGGGGCGTGCAGGAAGCAGCCAATCAGTGATTCTCTCTCATCATTGATGTTTCTCTCTCTCCCTTCCTCCCTGAAATCAATAAAAATATATTTTTTAAATGTTCAGCATGACATGTTGAGGGAAATGTGATATGTAAGATATTTTCACATATGCAACACTCCTCTGTCCTCCTACCCCCCACTTTTATGCCCTGTTCAATCCATTAACAAATCTGAGCTAGTCTACCTTCACAGCATGTCTTTAGCGTCTGTGCTTCTTACCTCTGCATTGCTATTACTCAGGATACAGTGGTCGGCAAGCTGCGGCTCTTTGGCCCCTTGAGGGTGGCTCTTCCTAAACCTTAGGAGTACCCTAATTAAGTTAATAACAATGTATCTACCTATATAGTCTAAGTTTTAAAAATCTGGCTCTCAAAAGAAATTTCAGTCGTTGTACTGTTGATATTTGGCTCTGTTGACTAATGAGTTTGCCGACCACTGCTCTTGAACAAAGATTTTCAACTGGTGTGCCCCAAGAATTTTTTGAGATTTTTTATTGATTTATTTTTAGAGAGAGAGGAAGGAGGAGAGAGAGAAAAACATCCATGTGAGAGAGGAACATGGACTGGCTGTGTCCTGCAAGGCCCCCCACCAGGACCGAGCCCACAACCCGAGCATGGGCCCTGACCAGGAATCAAACCAGCAACCTTTGGCTACACAGGGATAATGCCCAACCAATTGAGCCACACCTGGGTGTTATTTTTTAATGCTTAAACCCTCCAATAGCTTCCTATAGCACTTTGAAAAAAAAAAACCCAATGTTTTACCTTGACTTGCAAAGCCCTACCAAACCATGGCCCCTTCTCTTTAGGTGGCTCTCATGTCACCCTCTAAACACAGTTCTCTAACTACAGGGGTCCTCTTTTCTTCCCTACCTCAGAGCTTTATCACCCTGTGAGATGCTGATGCAAGAATTCCCCGGGCTATACTTTGTTGCTTGCTTTTTCATTTTATGTATCAACCACCATCTGCTTCTGCATGAGTAAAATGAGGCCAATATGAACAGACTAGAAGGCAGAAAATAAATCATAAAAGGATACCACTCTGAAAAGGCTACATACTGTACAAGTCTAACTATATGACATTCTGGACAAAGCAAAAAGTGGAGATGATAAAAAAATATCTGGTTTCCAGGGGTTGGGGGAGAGGGGGAGCGAAGAGTGAAGAGCCAGAGCACAGAGGACTTTTAGGACAGTGAAACCTATATCCGACAAAAGTGGACACATGTCAAATGAACAGCACCAAGACAGAACCCTCATAGAAACTATGGACTTTGGATGATTACGGTGTGCCAGTAAAAGTTCATTGGTGGTAATTAAATGTACCACTGTGGTATGGATGTTGATAGTGCAGGAAGTTGTGTATGTATTCCTAGGAATATGGGAACTCTCTGTACTTTTCATTCAATTTTGTTGTGAACCTAAAACTGCTCCTAAAAATAAAGTATTTTTTTAAAAGATAGAGGATACTACCATTTAAATTTGAAAAGGAGAAGCGTATGGAAGTGGAAATAAGCCATTGCAAAGGAAATAAGACCCTCTCTTCCATGATAATGCATATGAACTAAAATCTGTGTCTGTAAGCCTCACGGTTTTTCTAAAGGCCACCTCCTTCCTGTGAGGCTTTGTGGGTAATTATCAGAAGCTATACAGCTATCACCCAGGTCAGTCCCCAGCCACACCACTGGCCCCTGGAAACCTGTTGGGCTCATCAGTCCCCCAGGAGGTTGCTGAGTGGCATCTGGGTGGGACCGTCCCTGAGTGCTGTCAATGCAGTGGAGATTGCCTTCGGCTGCTGTCCTTCCAGGGAGCCTCATTTATTAACCCCGTGGAGTCTATGGCCCAGTCTGTAACAATTCTGATGAATCATAGTGGATTTCTGCTTACTACACCTTCCTCATTCCTCTGACCAAAATAATACCTTTGTTGAGAGTAGTGACTGTGTCTTCAAAGTCATCTGTTAAAAAGTGCAGATTTCTTTCCTGGGAAAGCTACCTCATTAACCCTTATATTCCACTAACACCAGGGCCCTGGGAAACTGGACACAGGACTGGTCAATCTAGTTGTGGCTAAAGGAGGAAAGAACCTAAATATTAGAGTTCTCTCATCCCAAGATCAAGCAAAATAAGACAAGTGAGGCACTGCAGTATGAGGACCAGGATGAAGGAAAGGTATTGGCGTAGAAGGAGGAATATAAAAAAAAAAAAAATGGGTTTCCTTAAAGTTAAGGCCAATTAAAAACATTTAAGGTCGTTCCTCATTTTAAAATGTTCGAATGAATATTTCAGTTCCTGATACCACAGTAACATTCCGCCTAAATCTTACCTTCCCTATGCTCTAGATCAACATTTCCCAAACGTTTTGATCTCAGAACCCCTTTATACTCTTATAATAATTGAAGATCACACAGTGCTTTTTTGTGGACTTTAGGTATTGATATTTACCAATACCTATTAGAGAAATGTTTAAAACACAAGAATACACTGAGCCAGTGTGATAAATTAAGGTGTTGGCATTGATAAATGAGGGAAACCAGTGGAGCTACATCTTCTACATCTGAATGAGGTTATATTCCAGGGCTAATGGCCCATGTGACTAAGTATATAAGGCTAATGGCTTCTGCTTTCCAGATTTTCTGCACCATGCCTCCAAGTGAGCAGGATTTGTGCCCTGAAATATGTATGTAATATGACAGGATGTAATGTGGCAAGATATAATTCTAAATGCAAAAACTGCATGCATAAATTCATGCAAGAATTCTTTGCATTTATGCAAAGCTCACATTGCCTGGCCTAACTTCAGTTCTTTCTCCAACCTGGATGCTTTTCTGCTCATAGACTCGAGGAGAAACCTGCTTTTCTCATTAATTGGTCATGCTTATCACAAATAAATCTTTACTAATTATCTATAGATTTATTTATCAAAATCCTAGAAAATGAAATTATTTCTTCATTAGATCCTTCTTTCTGTGTGGAGGAAAAACAAAATGTTCTAATGGTGGTAACAACAGGATGGTCACTTAAATCTCAGTCAAGCCCAGTAGGCAGGCTCAGTGGTTGAGCGTCAACCTAGGAACCAGGTCATGGTTCGATTCCCGGTCAGGGCACATGCCCGGGTTGTGGGCTCCATCCCCAGTGAGGAGGGGTGTGCGGGAGGCGGCCGATCCATGATTCTCTCTCATCATTGACGTTTCTATCTCTCTCTCCCTCTCTCTCCCTCTCCCTAAAATCAATAAAAAATATTTATTTTTTAAAAAATCTCAGTCAAAATCCTGGACCATCTCATAGCTTCTAAATTCATATAAAAACTTATTCATCCGCCTATGATGCAGTCCTATAAAAGAAAGTTTGGGGAGAAATTTTTTACCACTTATATTGGAACCATCAGACTGCATACTGATTTTTCATGTTTGGATTCCAGTGTTTGAAAATAATGCTTTGGGAGGTCGAAAGACTTTACAATTTGTAACTAAGATATTAGGCTTTGGGACTAGTAACCTTTTTTGTATGGGTCTTTTCTCGGTTTTAGAATTTCTTCAGATCAAGCCAAGAGGCACATTGGTCTTTTATTACCTCTACTACCTCGCTGTTCAGAGTGTGGTCCTAGACCAGCAGCATTGGCATCAACAAGACACCAGTAAGAACTGCCGGATCTCAAGCCCCACCCTGCACTTACTGAATCAGAACGTGCATGCTCACCAGGGCTCCAGGTGATTAGTGTGCACAGTGAAGTTTGAGAAGACCAGCTCCACTGTACCAAGGGGACGGAGGCTTTGCAGCAAGATTATCTCTGGAGGTATGTGGTTGGCAACCTTTTAAAAGTCTCCCAATGACCCCTGCCTCCTGGTAATCACTCCCTTGTGTAATCCTTCCATTAGGTGTAAACTGAACCTACGAACTGCTTCTAAAAGTACAATGTGGCAAAAGTGATGGGATGTCACTTCTGTTATCTATATACTGTATATAAAAGCCTAAGCGACCATTCAACCGGTAGCTATGACGCGTACTGACCACCAGGGGGCAGACGCTCAGTGCACAGGCATGGAAACATGGAACAGACTGATGAATCTCAGAGGGAAGGGAGGAAGGAGGAGGGTGGGAAGAGATTAACCAAAGATCTTATATGCATACTAGAGGTGCAGTGCTGGATTTGTGCACCAGTGGGGTCCCATGGCCTGGCCTGCAGGAATCGGGCTGAATCCATGCACTGGGCCCCCGACATCCCTTGAGCGGCCCCAGATTGCAAGAGGGCACAGGCCAGGCCGAGGGCCCCCACTGCTGCACGAATCCATGCACCAGGCCTATCTAGTTATGGTATAAAAGACTGAGATGAAACTCACTCACACTCTTTCTCTCTTCTCCTTCTCACCTGCAAGCTGCAATGTGGTGAGCTGTTCTATGTGGAGACTCATGTGGTAAAGGACTTTTGAATACCTGATGAATGCCTTCAAAATTCTCAGCTAAAAATACTTTACCCTCTCAGAACTCAGCCAAACCATCAGTCAAGTACAAGGGTAGAATAAAGATAATTTCAGATAGGTATGTTTTCAAAAAATTCCCCTTCTGTGCACCTTTTCTTAGAAATTTACTAAGGTAATGTCACATAGATTAGGAGGCTAGAGGGAAGAGTATTGTGTGTGTGTGTGTGTGTTGTACGTGCGCACGCGCAACATGTGGGTGTTCCAATATACTCATACGTGTGAGAGGTATGAGAGGAAGGGATATGTGTGACAGGAAAGTGTCACTTACATTCTTGTCTTCAATACTAGAAAGCCAATAGATAATGCCTAACATTTATGAATAAGAGAAATAGCATTTTAAGGATATAATTTAGAAATAAGAAGGAAATATTTTAAGCGTTAAAGCTGGGGACTGAAGGATAGGGAAGGTTACCATTGTTATTCATCATAAGCCTTGTAGTACTATTTTATTTCTTAAACTATGTGAACTTATTGGTTTGTTGAAAATTAAAAATTACTTTAAAGATAAAAACTGTCCAACTGCCCTTAAACACCACAATTTTTCTAGATATTAAGTAGAGAATATGTACAGCTGAATCACAGCTATTAGTAGGTGTTTGAGTAGCTTTTTCACTGGTCTCATTTCTGGTCAAGATTGCTGATGAAAATCAGTCTATCTCTCTCTTCTAAGTTAAAAAAAAATGAATCCTTTGGCCTTATAATCTCACTTCTGGGAATTTATCATAACAAAATAAGCATAAATAAGTAAAAAATTTTATGCAAAATGATATGTATGCATGCATATAAGCATAACCAATGGACATAAGACACTGGGGGATGGGGGAGGCTAGGGGACTGTCTTGAGCGGGGGGGAAAAATGGACACATATGTAATATCCTTTGTAATAAATAATAAAATTAAAAAAAAATGATATGTAGTGCTCTTTATATATATTATCTCAGAATTGGCATCTCCTTCCCTGCCAACCAAAAGCAAACATGAGTAAATCCCCCTCAGCCTTTAAAAAGGAAATTGAGCCGAAACCGGTGTGGCTCAGTGGATAGAGCGTCGGCCTACGGACTGAGGGGTCCCGGGCTCGATTCCGGTCAAGGGCATGTACCTGGGTTGCGGGGGCATCCCCAGTAGGAGATGTGCAGGAGGCAGCTGATCGATGTTTCTCTCTCATCGATGTTTCTAACTCTCTATCTCTCTCCCTTCCTCTCTGCAAAAAATCAATAAAATTTATTTTAAAAAAAATAAATAAAAATAAATAAAAAGGAAATTGATGTAAAAATGTCCATAATCTAACATAAAGTGAAAAAATCAGTATGAAAATTTGCAAATAAGGTATTATTATAACTATTTTTTAAATTCTATTAAAAAATGATTGTAAGATTACACTAAACTGTTTACAGTGGTCTTGTTTCAATGGCGAAATTATGGATAATTTTTTCTTCTTACTTTGTAAATTTTTAGAGATACTTAAAATTTTTTATATTAATAGTATAATTAAAATACTTAAAATATGAATTAAAATTCATTTTTATGTTAAAAACTTTGGGGGGCTGACCATTTTGGTTTTACCTTTCTGATCTTAATGTTTCACAGTGGATTATTTAATGGCAGTCATTTCAACCCATATATAGTTGACTCTTTGACAAGTTTATAAAGGCAAACATTTTAATCATAATTATGCCAACATTGATAAATTTTCAGCAAAAAAGGTATTAACTGGAAAAATTCATTAGGCCAATTTCACTTGAATAATTGCTGAACAAATTAATAAATGATCAGTATTTTATATGCTGAAGTTAAACTATTTCAAGTAGTTCTCATTTCATTTTGGTTCCTGGAATTATTCTCATAAATATTAAACTTCTTCCTCAAACTCTTATTTAAAGAATATTTGAATCAATGAACAATTTAATTAAAAAAAAACTTTTTTTGGCCATCAGATCTTCAACCACTACACTTTCTTTTTAGAACTTATTTTTTCATGTCTATTGGCCTTATCAAGTTTTGCCAGATTTTCAGTTTGCTGAGAATTTAGTTCTATTATTTTTGAATCGGCAACAAGTCTTATATTTAGTTTTAGCCATTCTAAGTTTTATTTTTACTATAACATTATTATACATTTTATTTTTTAAGCCTGTTGGTTTCTGCTTTGTTTTTATTTAATTCATGAAAAAAAATGTGGTAAATTTCTCTTAGATATTTCCGAATTGGTACAAGTTTATGGTTGGGCTACTCCATGTTTTTTCCCCGCTTTGTACCAAGTACCAAGCTGCTGATAAAGTAAAGAGGTGAAGGTCAGGCCTAACAGCCCTAACTTCAGAAAAGTCAAATAACTAGAGATGACAAAAGCTATACCTCACCCAGCATTTTTAGATACATACTATGTACCAGCACTGTGGTCAACCCTGGGA